TCTTTCCCTTTCCATTTATATATTACAGAACTTTTTATGAGATGTGTACAGTTTTTATGAAATTTTTTAATTTAACATCTTATATAGCCAACTTATATATCATTTTAGACAAATGTGATATTTATGCCTTTTGTTTTCAGTGCCTTTTTCTCTTCTCATTTTATTTTCCTAATCCATCAAAAACAAAATTAATAATCTACAGTGTGTTCCTTAAATATTTCTGTGGTTACATGATTCTATGCATACATATATACATATTCGTACATATTTGTACATATACATGCAAGTGTTATTAATTTTGTTATTGCTGGTTTTACAAGAATGAGATAATATCATACACATTATTCTTATTTTCACCCCAAAAACCCCCATGGAAATCCTGTATATTCATCTAGTGTAAGTCTAATTCATAATTTTAAATCACTGCATAATATTCCGCAGGGTAAATACACCAAATGTGTTCAGGGATTTCACTACTGATTGAGCATTGACTTTGTCTAGTTTTTAGCCTCAAAAAACAATAACATAGGAAGCATTCTTTTATTTATGTCTTTATATATTAGTGCTCTCATTCCTGTGGGATAGATTCTCAGAAAGTGAATTTCATAGAAGGAAATGTGTATTTTGAATTTTAAAACAGGATGCTAGATTCTTTTAATTTTTCTAGAAGCAATGAACAAGAAACAGCAAAAGATACTATAAACTCTTCTAAAATTTTTGCCAGTCTAATGAGCATAAACTAATATTCCTTAATTAATTTACATAGCAAAATCAAATCCCTTATACTTAGAAAAGTTCAACTCATACTAAGAAAAGTTTATCTTTCCTAATAAAGTGCTATTTAAATTTCTCAAATGATATGTTACTGAAAGTTTCTAAGCTATTTGCCATTCTAGAGGGTTTTCTAATAGATAAGAGCTATGTACTTCATAGGCCCTGTATTAGAACTAACTATAGGTAGCCCTAGGATGGCTATACAATGAAAAGGATTCTAAAAACATAAAGTTCAAAAATCTCCCTCTTGGCGAGTGTGGCCAAAAGTAGCACTTCAATGTTAAAACAATCATTTCAATGGATACAATATGACAGGCTCTAAGAATATAAAGATCTTAATAATCTTTCCAGTGTGGCAGTGTACGGGATTCACAACGTTAAGCAAGGTGGGTATTTGACCAACAGGTCAGTGTGTTCAGTGCTGGCAGTACATGGTTTGCATGTAAAAGATTATGAAAATAAGAAAAATAAAAAATTTTAATTCCCTGACATATAGCATCAAAAAGAATAAAATACTCAAGAACAAATTTAATTTAGGAAGCAAAGAACTTATATGCTGAAAACTACAAAATGTTGCTGAAAGAAATTAAAGACACACCAATGAAAAGAAAAAAACATCCTGTGTTCAAGGACTGTTAAGACGTAATGTTATTAAGATGTCAATAACACCCAAAGCAATCTACAGATTCAATGTAGTCTCCATCAAAATCCCAATGATGTTTTTGTAGAAATAGAAAAATCCATCCTAAAATTCACATGGAATCTCAAGGGACTCCAAATAGCCAAAACAATCTTGAAAAAGAACAAATTTGGAGGTCTCACACTTCCTAATTTCAAAACTTACTACAAAGCTACAATAATCAAAACAGTGTGCTACTGGCATAGAGACAGAGATATAGACCAATATAATAGAGAGCCCAGAAATAAAAATCCTCACTGTAGGGACTTCCCTGGTGGTCCAGTGGTAAAGAATCCGCCTTACAGTGCAGGGGATGCAGGTTCAAGCCCTGGTCCAGGAAGATCCCACATGCCGTGAGGCAACTAAGCCAGCATGCCACAACTACTGAGCTAGAGCGCCTCAATGAGAGGTCCCACGTGCCTCAAACTACAGAGCCCACACGCTCTGGAGCCCGTGCTCCACAACTACAGAGCCCATGTGCCCTGGAGCCCGCATGCCACAACTAGAGAGAGAAAACCCATAGGCCACAACTAGAGAGAAGCCCGTGCACCACAACAAAGACCTGACACAGACAAAAAAATAAATTAAATAAATAAATATTTTTAAAAATCCTCACTGTATGATCAATTGATTTTTTTGAATTTATTTTTTTATACAACAGGTTCTTATTAGTTATCCATTTTATACATATTAGTGTATATATGTCAATCCCAATCTCCCAACTCATCACACTCCCACCCCGCCTCCCCCCCCACACCATCAACTGATTTTTGACAATGGTGCCAGGACAGTTCAATGGGGGAGAGAACAGTTTTCTCAGCAAATGGTGCTGGGAAAACTAGATAATACACATGCAAAAGAATGAAGCTGGACTTTCAACTTTTCATTAAGTTTGAAAATTTCTAAAATTAATTAAAAACATTCTTGATCAAGAGGTAAAAAGTCTATTTTAATAAAACTAGTGGATTGGTGATAAAGGCCTAAAGTAAATCTGTGGCAGTAGGGCTCAATATTTAATGACCAGCTATATATGAAATGGGAAAATCTAGAAGAATCTAAAAGGACTCTTAAATTTGTAGCTGATCAAATAGATTCCATTCAATGTGTCAGGGAATGGCAATCAGTTCATGAATCTGAGGCATCTGTAGAATAATTTGGAAAAGAAGTCTAGAAGGTAGAAAGATATATAAGTGTGATGTTACAGAGAAGTCTGGTTTGGATATATAGACTTGAAAGTTGTTGTGGAAATTGTGTGTCCTCTCCCTATCCCCCCACCCTCTCCCACCCCACCCAAAATCAGATTTTGACACCCTAATCTCCAGTACCTCAAAATGTGACTATATTGGGGCTGGATCTTTAAAGAGGTAATTAAGTTAAAACAAGGTCATCGGGTTGGGCCCTACTCCATTATGAATGGCATTCTTATACAAAGAGATTAGAACACAGACAGGTAACCATGTAAAGACACAGAAAGACAATAATCTATTAGCCAAGGAGAGAGGCCTCAGAAGAAACCAACCCTGCCAACATCTTGATCTTGGACTTCTAGCCTCCAGAATTGTGAAGGAAAAAAAAATCTTCTGTTAAGCAACTCAGTCATGCTACTTTGTTATGGCAGCACTAGCAAACTAATATAGAAGTCATTAATACAGATATAACCCATAAAAACAGGAGCAGAAAATACAATGTTGAAATAGCATATAGAATAAGAAGCAAAAATCGCTGAACACAGTCAACTGGAGAACACCAACATTTTAATAGCAGAGTATGAGCAGTCTCTGAGATGCCCAATATAATGCTAGAGGAGGCAATAAGATAAACAGTTGAATGCAAATTAAAATCAAAATTGCATACACATACCTATCTGATGTGCTGAAATTTAAAAAACTACAAGGTGAGGACTTCGCTGGTGGTGCAGTGGTTAAGAATCCGCCTGCCAATGCAGGGGACACGGGTTCGAGCTCTGGTCCAGGAAGATCCCAACATGCCACAGAGCAACTAAGCCCGTGCGCCACAACTACTGAGCCTGCATGCTGCAACTACTGAAGCCTGTGCACCTAGAGCCTGAGCTCGGCAAAAAGAGAAGCCACCGTAATGAAAAGTCAGCACACTGCAACAAAGAGTAGCCCCCGCTCACTGCAACGAAGAGTAGCCCCCACTCACTGAAACTAAAAAAAGCCCACACGCAGCAACGAAGACCCAATGCAGCCAAAAAAAAAAAAAAAAAAGACTAGGTGGTAGTGAAGACACAAAACAATGGTGGACATTGGCATGAATATAGTAGTTTAAAACAAGAATGCAGATAAAATTGGGAAGAGAATGAGGAGAAAAGAATCCCAATAACTGGGATAGAGAATGGAAAGTAAACTAAGAAGGGATGGGGGGGACCTAAAAGAAAGAGGACAGAGGGGCAAGAGAAAGCAGAAGGGAGACGTAAATGAAAAAAGAGGGTACAATCCATATATAAGACCAAATACAGACATACATACCACATAAAGGAATGTAGGCTTTAATAATAGAAAAATATCTCCTAGTTGGGTATTATAAGTACAGATTTTTAAGACTTTTTTTTTTTTTTTTTTTTTAAATTATTTGGCTGCACCGGGTATTGTGGCACGAGGGATCTTCATAGCAGGATGCAGGATCTTTAGATGAGGCATTCAGGATCTTTAGTTGCAGCATGCGGGATCTAGTTCCCTGACTAGAGATTGAACCTGGGACCCCTGCATTGGGAGTGTGGCTCTTAACCACTGGAACAGCAGGGAAGTCCCTTTTAAGCCATTTTCTATTGCTCGACCAAAGGCAAAAATATAGTTGGCCTCAGTTGGACAAGTCAAAAGGCAACATAAAATCTACGTGGCCCTTATGTAAGTAAGTATCTAAAATAATTTCTCTCTTCCACTAGGTAAGTTTCATTCATTAAGAAACAATTTACAGTTTCTACTGAGCATATAAAACAGTGTCTCCGCCTGCCGATGCAGGGGACATGCGTTCGTGCCCCGGTCCGGGAAGATCCCACATGCCACGGAGCAGCTGGGCCCATGAGCCATGGCCGCTGAGCCTGCGCGTCCGGAGCCTGTGCTCCGCAACGAGAGAGGCCACAGCAGTGAGGGGCCCGCGTACCGCAAAAAAAAAAAAAAAAGTGTCTATGATGATACAATGATGGCTGTAATAAAATCTCCATAATCAAGATTACTATATTCTAATGTGCAAAAAAAAAAAAAAAAAAAAGTGTCTATGATGATACAATGATGGCTGTAATAAAATCTCCATAATCAAGATTACTATATTCTAATGTGAGACAGAAACGTTCATCTATAATAATAATGAAGTATGAAATAATGTGTGTAAAAAAAGAAAAATAACGTGACTTCCTAATAGCAATGGAAATTATTAGGCAATTTCAAGAGGGTAAATGGACCTTGAATTCTTCTTGTGAACATTAAATTAATTCACCATTAATTTGTTTACAAAAATATAAGCCTAAAAATAAGAATCTTACTTTCAGGAGTTTCTTTCTGCCATTGACTGAGTTCAGCAGTCAAACATTTCACTTGCATAATTAATAATGACAGCTATTTAAAAAAAAAGAACAAGAGAATAAAACAAAGTCATTTCTTATGGAATATTCATATTTATTCATAGACGAAAGTGTGTTAATACTTTAACACAAGTTCCTAACATAAATGGTTAACACAATAGCAATCTAAACTATAAAAAATTATCACTCCTAACAGAATTTTCCTTTAAATGGCTTATAAATTGCCATTACACCAGCAATACAGTTTTAAAAATGATCAATTCTAACTTCACCATTCAACCTAAAAAAACCTAAGTACATTAAGTTTATTCCCTAAATTAATATTCTTTTAAAAAAAGAATGTTATTTCTTGCCAACATTTTTAAAACAAATTTGCTTTAAATATGCTTTTTTTTTCCTTTCTATGCACTTTCAGAAAAATTGCAAGTATGTTTAGCTGAGCAGTTAAAAATAAGTTTAAATATCAATACATATATAAAGACAATTATAAAATGAGACTGGTTCCATAAATCACATATAAAAACCAGTTTTACTACACAATAGTTTGTAAACTGTGTACCCCTTTAGCCAAAAATAAATTAGGATAAATGTTTCTAATATTAGGTGATTCCAATCATTGTAAATTTGATAATTATAAATCTGTGTGATAAATCTGTTGCCTGATTAGACCATAAAATTAAAACTGATGCATGCTTAAATTTCAGAACATTTTTTATCTCCTCTATATAATTTTTATACATAGACAAACAAATCAAAAATTCACATTTCAAAAATGCAATAGGTATTCCTGTAATATTTATACTAAAAGGACACCAAGTACTCTTTTTTAACAAATTTTTATGATGCAGAGCGGGGAGCTCAAAGACCCTGCTCTGGATCATAACACTGGCTGTTGAACAGTCAGAGAAAAAAACCCTAGTCTCTTTGAAAGATTTATATAATTATATAAAAATGCATTTGCAGGTATTAAAATTTTTACCAAAAAAGAGTTTAACATTATTTTCTTAGAGATAATTAAATAAGAATGTAAAAAAGTTTTCTGTGAACTATACAGTGATTTATAAATGTTAATTATTATTATTATTACTAGAAAAGGATAACAAATACTTAAAAAGCACTATTTAAACTAGGCAAACCTATCATAATGATAAGGTATCTATATCACTTTTCCTGAACATATTAGACTGAAATATATAAAATTAGTGATACTTATTTTTGAACCTATTAAAAAACTGTAATTTAACCTCATACTATACTGATGAAACTCAGCTCTTTACCTTCTAAAGCCCAGCTAAAGCAAACACCCAAATTATTTCTGATACTGATATAAAATTAAACCCTTTCTGAAAAATAATAACAGTAGTATTTCTAAAGTGATTTAAACACACATATTTGAGAAATCCTGCCATCTTCTCGTTTAAATATCTAACCTCTTGCTTTGGAAAATGGATTGAGCTTTAATATTGAAGTTTTGAAGTTAACAGATATGTCAAAAAGAGTTAACAAAGCAAGCCTGAAAGCCTTAAAGGCCTGCTTGGAAGGTTGGCCCTTGGCTGGCATCTGGCTTCAGAAGGTTCCCACCAACCTAACTCACAAGAGTGGCTCTCTGTGCCTGAAGTGTGAGAAAATACAATTTATGCTAAACACCTGCTTTCCTCCTGAGAGTCTGGTATTTTGATAACTGCTAGGCAAGGGGTGCCTATGTGACTACCCCCCACAAAAAACTTTGGGCTCTGAGTCTCTAATGAGGTTCCCTGGTAGACAACATTTCACACTCATTGTCACAACTCATTGGGGTAATTAAGCACGTCCTGTGTGACTCCACTGGGAAAGGCTCCTGAAAGCTTGTGCCTGGTTTCCTCTGAACTTCAACCCATGCTTCTTTTCCCTTTGCTGATTTTACCCTTTATCATTTCAGTGCAATAAATCCCGGCCATGAGTATGACTATGAGTACTGTGAGTGTTCCTAGAGAATCATCAAACCTGGGAGGAATATTAGGAATCTCTAACAAAATAGGAAAAGACATTTTGTGGATTTTTTACATAATGTTTTTTTTTTTTTTTTTTCTTTT